CGGTGCTCAAGAAAATGGAACCTTAACCGTGTCTGTCTGCTTCTTTCTCGTTTTCTTGAAGAAAAAAACTGGCTCAGCGCCTTCAGGACTCGGAGGAGCAGGTTGAGGCCGTGAATGCAAAGTGTGCTTCCTTGGAAAAGACCAAGCAGAGGCTCCAGGGAGAGGTGGAGGATCTCATGGTGGATGTAGAAAGAGCCAACTCCCTGGCTGCAGCTCTGGACAAGAAGCAGAGGAACTTTGACAAGGTGTGGGGCAGCTCCATGCCGGCTGAACTCCACGGCGCGGGAGGGTGTTGGGGCTGTGAGAGGAAGAGATCAGCTTCCTCCTCAAACCTACTCCAGCACTGTGGTCGTAGGGAGGTCCTTGAACTTCACCAGGACACTGTTTCTCCATCTGTGACGTGGACTGGGAATGGGGTGGGGCAGGAACCCCTATGGGTGATTGTTAGTAGCAGTGAACTGATTTCCACAGTGCTCTTAAGGCCAAGATCTGTTCCATCTGCTCATGTGACCCATGTCTTTAGGTGGCTGATGGGAGACACAGATGTAGGCCCCTCCCTGTGTCAGACAGGTGTGATTTGAACCAACATTTTAATGAAATACTTCCAGAAGTTTAAGCCTTTTTGGGGGGGTAGGAAAAATATGTCTAGCTAATTTCTTCTCTAAGAATTCATTTCCTTTTGAATATGGCAATGATTACTGATTGATTATCCCAAGTAAGTTAACAGAATGAAAACCTTAGCTCATTCAGTAATCTAGACCAGGCAGACAGTTGGGAGCCCTAACTCTGAGAGCAGTCCCCTCAGTGGTGACATTCTGTGAGAAGCTTGGCAGAGAGCTCCCTAGCAGCCTTCCATGACGATGTTGCAGGTGCTAGCTGAGTGGAAGACGAAGTGTGAGGAGAGCCAAGCAGAGCTGGAGGCGGCTCTCAAGGAGTCCCGATCCTTGAGCACCGAGCTCTTCAAACTGAAAAATGCCTACGAGGAAGCCTTGGATCAACTTGAAACTGTGAAACGGGAGAATAAGAACTTAGAACGTAAGTGTTGCAAAGGGTCTGAGATCCAGGGAACCCTTCCTCTCACCCATTACAACCAGAGCGTGTGGGGGTGAGTGAGACTCCATCCATCACTCAGGGGTCCACACGGGTCCACTGATGCACCTGCAGAAAGTGTTCATGGTTGACAAGCTGTTGTTTTGAGTCTGAGAAGCAGAGGTCCCTAGAGTTATAAAGAACTAGCAAAAGGCATTGAGTGCGTGCGTGCTTTGCATTCCTGGGAACCTGTGCAGAGGCATCCAGATGCAATGGGAACTTATTTCATTGCAGAAGAGATAGCTGATCTCACTGAGCAAATTGCTGAGAATGGGAAAAGCATCCACGAGTTAGAAAAATCCAGAAAGCAGGTGGAGCTGGAAAAGGCTGATATCCAGATGGCCCTGGAGGAAGCAGAGGTGAGCATGAGTGAGGAGGCAAAAACCAGAGCAGAGGCAGCAATGTGGGTCTCGGGGAGAGAAGGTCGCACTTCACCTTTGGGGAATTATGGGCCTTTTTCCCCATGATGGTGAGGCCCAGTGAGATCATGCCCCGGAGTTAGCTTAAGTTTATTGGAGAAAATCATTACATTAAAATAGGTCTACACCTGAAATTTTACAAACCCTTAGCTGAAGTTAAAATAGCTGCTTAAGAGCTTCCTGCTCCTAATAAGCAGGAAAGTGCAAACACTTTATTTTGGAGTGCATAGTCATAAATGAATAACAATGAAATACCTTACTTTCACTGAAGGTAAGTTAGAGGTTTTATTTAGACGTAGCTGTGATTATTATTGAATTCAGTTTAGGAATATCTCACTGGAGCCTTGCTGGCCCAAGACCATGCGGTCGGCTCTACAAGCAGTGCAGAAACTGTTCTTTTTGGTTTTGTCCTTCACAGGCAACTCTTGAGCACGAAGAAGCCAAGATCCTCCGAATTCAGCTCGAATTGACCCAGGTGAAGTCAGAGATTGACAGGAAGATTGCAGAGAAGGATGAAGAGCTTGAGCAACTGAAGAGGAACTACCAGAGGACAGTGGAGACCATGCAAGGGGCCCTGGACGCTGAGGTGCGCAGCAGGAATGAGGCCATCCGACTCAAGAAGAAGATGGAGGGTGACCTCAATGAGATCGAGATCCAGCTGAGCCATGCCAACCGCCAGGCTGCAGAGAACCTCAAACACCTCCGAAGTGTCCAGGGACAGCTGAAGGTGGGGGGAAGCTCCCTGGGGGTGGGGGCACCTTCCCAGTGTCCAGATATGCAAAGACTAGGTGAGGTTCATGGTCCTTGGCCCCCCACTTCACCTCTTTGTCTTCTGGCTAGGACACTCAGCTGCACCTGGATGATGCTCTCCGGGGCCAGGAGGACCTGAAGGAGCAGCTGGCCATCGTGGAGCGCAGAGCCAACCTGCTGCAGGCCGAGGTGGAGGAGCTGCGGGCCACGCTGGAGCAGACGGAGCGGGCCCGGAAGCTGGCAGAGCAGGAGCTGCTGGATTCCAACGAGAGGGTGCAGCTGTTGCACACCCAGGTGAGGGCAGGAGCACGGGGTGCGAGGGTCCACCCCAGGCACACTGTCTGACGCTCCGTCCTCCCCCCACCCCAGAACACCAGCCTCATCCACACCAAGAAGAAGCTGGAGACAGACCTCACACAGCTCCAGAATGAGGTGGAGGATGCCAGCAGGGATGCAAGGAACGCAGAGGAGAAGGCCAAAAAGGCCATCACTGATGTGAGGCTCCCCCCCCGTCCCCGTTTTTGGCCACCGAGAGATTGTGCCTCATTAAAGCCCTCCTTCCCCTTAACCCTAGACATGCTCAGTAGAAGTCTACCCTTGTAGGACACTCATGATGTATACATGTGGCCCCCAGACCATTCCTGTCTCCCATCAAACTCACCTGTCCTCTCCTGTACTGTCAAAAGCTTCCAGAGGGGAAGGGGTGGGGGAAGTATGTTGTTCTTCTGCCTCTAGAGGGGTGTGTTCTTTCATTTGTTGCCTGGAAGTGAGACCCTCTGAGGGCACTATCTCATCACATCTTTAACCTTCCTGGGGCTTCAGGCTTTCTTTCTGGGTCCATAGCTCCAATGGCGCCACCTGCTGCCTTCTAAGGGAACACCACCTCAAGGCTGTCTTACTTTCCCCAGGAAACCAAAGAAGGAATACAAATTCCTTACTTCTTGAGTCTCTACCCCGTGTGATGCTAGGTAGCAAGTTAGTCTCCTCCAAGCCTCACGATCCTTTGAAACTGTGTGGTGGTGATGATAAAATGAAAACTCCCTGGGGTTTGGGCAGGTCCTAAGGAGACCAGTTCCAGGATACTCTCCGCACCGGGTCCTTGTAGAGTATCTTTTATGTATCTTCTGTCCCAGGTGTAGCTTTTGTCCAGTTCCAAGGTGGGAAGCGAGCTCACTCGGGGTCTTACCCTTTGTCCTTTCTGCAAGCATGCTTTCTGGTGGGCCTGGAATGCCAATTTCCACAGCTGCAAGACTTTTGAGCCTTTCCCACACACGTTGATTTTCAGGCCGCCATGATGGCGGAGGAGCTGAAGAAGGAGCAGGACACCAGCGCCCACCTGGAGCGGATGAAGAAGAACCTGGAGCAGACGGTGAAGGACCTGCAGCACCGTCTAGACGAGGCTGAGCAGCTGGCGCTGAAGGGCGGCAAGAAACAGATCCAGAAACTGGAGACACGGGTACCAGCAAGGGGAAGCCCAGACAAACCCAGTTTCCCAGCCCATGCTGCCCAAGGAACCGCTCTAGAATAATGTCCCAAACATCTCCCCAGATCAGAGAGCTGGAGTTTGAGCTGGAAGGGGAGCAGAAAAGGAACACAGAGTCTGTAAAGGGCCTGAGGAAGTATGAGCGTCGGGTCAAGGAGCTCACGTACCAGGTAGGTAGAAAGAGCACCTAATGAGGGTTTTCTCTCCAAGGTGCAAATGGCACTCCAGTCTGGAACAGCGTGGAACACTTGCATGCCCCGGACTGGCTAGGCCATGGGACAACACTGCCGTTCTTTAGTGACATGCCCACGCTTTCGTTTGCAGAGTGAGGAGGACAGGAAGAATGTGTTGAGGTTGCAGGACCTGGTGGATAAACTTCAAGTGAAAGTCAAGTCCTACAAGAGGCAGGCTGAGGAGGCTGTGAGTCAGATGTTTGTGTGGCTTGCCCACCCGTTTCCCCGCAGGGAGCCCTGAGCGAGGGACATGCCGATTTCACTCGCTGGTCTCTTTGCCTGTAGGATGAACAAGCCAATGTTCATCTCACCAAGTTCCGGAAAGCCCAGCATGAGCTGGAGGAGGCCGAGGAACGTGCTGATATAGCAGAATCGCAAGTCAATAAACTGCGGGCTAAGACCCGAGACTTCACCTCCAGCAGGGTAAGCTGACCTGGGAAGTGCTCCAGAGAAGCAGAGGACACCTCTGGGCTGGAAGTTGCTGTAGGGGATCCTCTACCTCCCAGATGGAGAATCTTAAACTCGGAGACAGAACTTTGTTTATAGTCACTAGCCTGGGTGGAGCTCCACTAGAATCGGGGTCTGTAGCATTAAATAAAACACCCTCCAGAAAGCTGGTGAATCATAGTCCACTGAGCTGTTTTTTAGTGCCCTCTGCCGGTATGAGAGAGGCTGTTCAGGAGCACCCTCTAGAGGTGTCTGAAGGTGTCTGCAGTTACTGTAACCACAGACCCATTGTGGCTCCCAGAAGGGACTTATTCTCTCTGGGGACAAGTTTCTCAGGCTATAGAGGGATCTCATGTGGGCCACCATACATCCTCCCAAAGACCCCCAAATTCCTTGCATCCCACTGAAATATACAAACAACTCTTTCATGCTTGCGGGAACGTCTCTGCTGCTTGGCTTGACTGAGAGCATCCACATTCTCTCTAGATGGTGGTCCATGAAAGTGAGGAGTAATCGAGCCCTCCCGATGCAGGGTGGAAGATATGCAGATGTGTATTTCCATGGCTCCTGGCAATCATACTTAAGTTCCATGTGACTCTTTGCCACATGCAATAAAATTTGCCTTGTTTTCAAGTTGTTTCGTCTTGTGCCTTTCCCTCTTCTCCGCATGGAAATGATTCCTCTTTTGATGATTTTTTTTTCTGCCGAATACTGAAATATCAGTAAGCAGATGGTTAGGCAGATTAAATTGGTAAATTTGTGTGTATGTGTAGTGGGGTTGGCTTCTGGTTTAAATTTGAGATTAAGCATTGCTTCAGTGGGGTCAGGAGAGAGAGCTTTGCAAAACTCATCTTTTAATATCATGTAAGAGAAACACAAAGGTTGGTTTCAGGAACACCTTGTTTCAAATTGGCTGGGATACATCTCCTACACATTTTACTAGGGAAATATATCTTGAATTTAGTTAATAATGGCTGGGTTCCATACATGATATAGATGAATGTCATAGTGTTTGGTTCTTTCAAGATCTCAGAGGCCAGGGGTGTAGCTCAGTGGTGGAACACTTACTTACCCCACATACTCCAGGCTCTGGGTTCCACCCTTGGCCACTGTAAAAAGCACATTTTTTTAAATAAGGAAAGAAAAAGCATTCAGTCCATATCTTCCACTAAGTCCTGTTATCTTGGGTACAATCTGCTTTATTTCAGAGTTGAACAAACAAACAAACAGCTCACACATCACTCAGATGAACACAACTTTTATATAAAGAGGACAAATGTTGGGAAAGTCAGAACATCCATGAAGCTGATCAGGCAGCAGAGCAGAATGCTCTAACCAGAGATCAGCTCAATCAGGAGATCATCATGAACACCCTCATCAGAAAGGGTTGCCAAGTCCCTTTCCTTACTGAGGGTCAGAAGGTTCTGGGATGTCCCCGTTTAACTCAGGAGGGAAGCCATGGGGTTTTGGGACCAGTCAGCACCTCCTGGGCATTGTGGCTATTGGGGGCAGGAGACCACCATTCTGCTTGGGTTTGTCCTTTTGGTGATTCCCGACCATTTTGTCTCTAAGAGCATGTGGGTTTGATTTGCTTGCAGTACTTCTAGGAGACAGCATGGCTCAATAGTGCCACACCTTCTGAGCCTGCTATTACTAAGGAAACCAGAGCACTGAGGAAAAGTCACTTCTACAGCCTGACCCGAGGTGGGGCCAGGCCACTCCGATCCTCTCAGAAGTTAGGAAAGGTGCTGCACTCAGCCTTCCATGGGAGGCAGCAAGGGAGAAGGCAAAGGAAACCTTGTTCCCAGGTATTCTAGGTAGTGAGTGCAGAAGAAACGGCAGACCCAGGCTGTCACAGTTTCCACACAAAGTGGGAGCCCTTAATGAGTTGCTATCAGAAATAGGAAAAGATAAGGCCACCAGATGTTCTCTGCCTCCCCACACAAGGTTCCCAATCAACAGTCTACACTGGGTCTGATCAGGCTTCTAGATGGGATTACTACTAATTCGGGGAATTCAGGGATATAAAATATAACCAATAAATCCCAATATGGGAAACTCACCTGAACAAGTAATAGGGTTTAAAAAATAAATACAGTGCATGTAAAAATACAGAATAGTAAGTGAAATTTAGTAGGCCTATAAGCCAATTGCCTGTAAGGGTTTAAAAAATTAACATTATGCTCTATTAAAAATTATTGTTTGTGTATGTGTGCATGTGCACATGTACACATACACGTATACACACACATATACAACCACACACACACACACACACACACACACACACACAGAGGTGTCTGCGTACCCAAAACATATATGTGGAGGTCAGAAAACAGCTTGTGGGAGTCAGTTCTCTTCCACTATGTGGGCCCTGGGGACTGAACTCAGGTCATCAAGCTTGGTGACAAGTGCCTTTACCTACTGAGCCATCTTGCTTGTCTAAGAAGTTGTTGTGATTGGATTTGTATGAAATCAAGTTAAAGAAGAGAGACACACCCTTGAATAGTAACTATCCCCCTTTCATCCTCAGGGGAGAGTGTGCTACCAGTCCTTATTTCTTACAAGTCCATGCTACAACATTTTATAGATGAGAAAGGCAGGGAAAGTGAGAAAGCTTTGTTTGATGTCAACATGCTGACAGGACCTAAGGATTCACTAAAGATGCTCGGATATGTTAGATGCAGAAAGGAGACAGACAGACAGATAGACAGACAGAAAGATACACACACACACACACACACACACACACACACACACACACACACACACCACACCCCAGGCTGTGGGATCTGCCTTGTCCGCTCACCAGTAAAATGTGGCATTTCACACAAAAGCACAGTTCAGTTCTGAAAGCCACCCTGGTGCTAGGCAGTGAAGGATATAGGTAGGGAAAAAATCATTTTCTGAGAGTTATGAGTATCACAAATTTTGTCAGCTTCCTTATTCCACAAAGCAAAGGATGCCCTCAGTTGCAGATGAAATCGGCCCTGTTAGTGGACAGAGAAAAATGAGATTAGTCTCCTTCCGAATGAGGAGCAGCCATAACACACAAGGCTAAGAGGGGTGGCCCGCCCTGGCAAGGGAGACAGGATGAACTCAGCCACTATTACTGAACCTTTACAGAGAGCTCAGGCTCTTCCTCACATCATCGTATAAAGATTCAACAGTGACGAGATGGGCCTTCTTATACTTGCTTACTTCAGAAGAAGAAAAGCCATGTGGTAACCAAGGTCAGAATAGCAGAGCTGGTGTTGTCTTGGGCTCCAAGGCCCCTTTCATCCTGCAAAGCCTGTCTACGGGGGCCAAATCCTCAGCTGAAACACCGTGAGGAGGAGGGGCTGACGAAACCAGAGACGTGCTTGTGTCTTTCTGACTCTGCTCACTCCTCCAGACACTGCACTGTCAGCCTTCTGCAGCTCAGCAGCGTGCTGCACCCCATCCTTGGGACCCCCTCACACAGACCATTGGGTCATTCATTAGGACAAGATGGTCATTAGCCCTTTGTGACATTAGCCCGGATCATGATGAGGAAGAGGCTGGGGGTGCCTCCCCCGTCAGTTTTTTTTCTTGGGCAGAATCCCATTGTCTCCAAATTTTAAGGACTAGTTCTAATTACTTTCCATTTCTTGAACAATCCCACTTCTCTCTTTTTTATTTTTTTTTCTGGTAGCCGGGTAAAGAATTGATTTATTTTTCTCCCTGTAATCCTCATATGATTCAGAAACTTCTGACTTGCCAAGTTCTTTATTGAATCTCAAATCTCCAAGCAGTAGATTTCTTCTATTTTTATTACCTTTTGTATTTTTTTAATTATGAAAGAAATATACATTCAAAAATAGGATTTTTAAAAGGCCTGTCAAGTACAGAGGGACTGCCAGCTGGGGACTTCTTTATTTGGAGTGGCCACAAGCTTGATTTATGATTGGCAGATGGCCCCCTCTTAAGGAACCAAGGGACCAGTTTCTAATAGGAGTAACATGTCCTTATGTGGGGAGACGGGGCAGCTTGCAGCCACTGGCAGCTGGTGAAGGTGGCTTTTCATTTCTCCATGCCTGGGTCACTCTAACAGCTGAGTTTTAATAAAGCAACTGTACCTCAGACTATGGGGGGGCAAGCCTCCCAGAACACCAAGGCCTATTTGCACCCCTCCCTCTAATTCCACTGCTAAAAACAGCTGCGGCCGAGAGTCTCCAAGAGTGCTTGTTGGATCTGAGCAGAGATCTGGTTACCCTAGCTATGCTGAGACATTCCAGAGGCTCTTGTGTTCTCTGCTGCAGGCCACTGGGGCCAGAAGCCCAGGATGGCACTGACTATTTTTAAGCAAGAATGGTCATGCTATCTGTGACACAGAGGAGCAAGAAGCCCCCACTTAAGGGCATGCCCTAACAATGAGACAGGGTCCTCTTTGGGGACTGCTTGTGGTGGGGTAGGTGAGTAAGGGATAGACCCCTCTAGGCTCCCTTCAGAGAAGATCCTGACATCTGACTTGCTGAGAGAAGACTCAACTTACATGAAGAAAACGGAGGACTATCATCTTCTAGGGGGTAGTTTTTCATTAAATTCAGTAGCAATTCCTTAAGCAACTGCTCTCCTGATTGACAGTTGCCACTTTGCAGCTATCAGTAAGGGCTCGGCCACACTGGCAATAGCCAGGCAGGAATTCTGTTCCCTCAGGCACCCGCTCTATCATGGCTGCTAAAGGGAACTTTATCTAGATCTCTATCTCTCTATAAAACTCAGGATTCAAGGGTCGAGGTGAAATTCTGCTGGATCCGAGGTAACCTCACCTCCAAACTTGTGTCTCCACTTAAAACAGGATTTCCTGTTAAGAACCTAGTTCCTCCCTACCACTTCCTGTCAGCTAGTTGCTGACTCAGCCTAAAGGGAATTGTAGGGAGAGATCATTTACCTGTGGCCACGCCCAAACGGGAGTGGTTAGGGCTACAGGTAGGTGATCTCTCTTTACAAGCCTCCAGGTTAATTTTATTTAATTAAACAAATGTAACACCTCTTAAAATAATATTTAACAACACAAGGGTTTCCCAGTAAGCCTACAGTGTGTAACTCCATGTTACAAAGACAAATACTACAGAAACTTGAACTCCAAGGACAGTAAACAGAAACTAACTACCCAAGTAAAGATAAGAAGGAATGAAAAACCAAACCAGCTCCTCCCCTGCCAAAAGAGCCCCCAACAACCTTTAGTGCAGTGGATAATTGAGGAAGGTGACAGAATTTTACAAAGACCAAGAGGAAGGTTAGTCACAGCAACGTGCTCTGTACACAGCAGGCACGCATACCCTTGCCGAATCCAATTCTCAGTAGGAAAAGTCAAGGGGAATGGTGAGGAGAATATGTTACCCTCCAAGAAAATCAGCTCTCTCCTCTATCATCTCCTGCCTCTCTCTTCTGACTCCCATATCAGTAAAGGAGAGATGGTACAGTTCAGAAGTGATTCTTTACAAATTTTGAGACAGTCTTAACCATGAACTCCATTTTGTTGGTTTCTCAGAGAGGAGGCTTGAGCTGCTGCTGCTGCTGCTGGTGGTGGTGGTGGTGGTGGTGGTGGTGGTGGTGGTGGTGTGTGTGTGTGTGTGTGTGTGTGTGTGTGTGTGTGTATGGTGTGTGTGTGTGTGTATGTGTGTGTGTGTGTGTGTGTGTGTGTGTGTGGTGCTGCCCTGTGAGAACCCCAGACAGGTCAGCCCAACAAGCGTAGCTACCAGGCATTTCAGGTCCGTGTTTCACACGTCTGTCATTTACTAAGGACCTACTATTACCCAGAAGTGGGAAATAGGAGCAGAAATTCCTTGGAAAGTGAGGTAGAAGAGGGAGAGGAAGAGGTTGGGAAGAGAGACATACATTTCCAAATGTGGTTCAGCCTCTGCCCTGGGTGAGATGAGCATGTACAGCAGCTGCACCTTTTATGAGCCTGGGGTCCACTTCACAGGCAACAGGTGTGAAGACTTAAGTTTTCCTGGCATGTTCCCAGTGGTACAATTCAGTCTTCAAACGCTCACTGTAAGTTAGAAAGATACAAGTCTCCTGTTTTCCCAGGGCCTGTCAGCCTTGGGGATCCAGGCCTCATTGCACAGGAAGTGACTCATGGTTTCTGGTACTCACACATGTGCATCCTTTGAGCTGCTGAGGAGAGAGGTACATGTCAATCACAGTCTGTGCCCAGAAGCCCACAGGGGAGAGTTGAGTGAGAGTGTAGATAGGGAGCAGAGAATCAGCTGCTTTGTCACCTTGGCCCAGGTTTAGCATCCCTGCATCAGCAGGATCTTCCATTCGGTGTGATCCATAAGTTCACACTGATTAGATTTGATGCTATTGTCATTGGTCAGCAGGAGCAAAAGCACACAGCTCCATATCTCTAAGACACCACAGCATGAAGACTAGTCTTTTATGGAAAATCACTGTGACATTATCCCTGTGAGGATGCTCATCTTTAGGGAGGGGTCAGAGGGCAGTTCCAGCCCAGTTACCCAGAAACCAGAATGGGTACTAGCAACAAGAGACCTTGACTCTTGTCGGTCAAGTCCTGTCATCAGATAGTTCTCTAAGTTGAGACTCCAGGCCTGAGTGCTTGGTGCTGAGCTTGGCGTTAATGTCCTTGTTTCCTCCCTTCCGGTTCTGTCTTATCTTGTAGTCTTGAGTAACCTGCTGCCCTTGCTCCATTGTCTGAGACATAGATAAGAAATGCACACAGGGAACTCCAGCTACAGCTCTTGACGTCTCTGTAAGAAAGTATTAATAGTGGTTCTGTGCTGCTCCGGAGATGAAAAAGACAGTTTGAATACGAATCATTATTCTCTATGAAAAGAGCAATTTTGACAAGTTTCCTGCTGTATTTCATGACTTCATTGAATTCACCCTTTGGGGTTTAAAGGATGGTGAGACCAGGAACCCGTAATATGAAAACAGGAGATAGCAATACTGGGGAATAGAGGTTCAAATGAGGATGGCCTTAGGGTTAGGAGGAATGGGGCAGGTTAAAAAGCAAAAACTTAAGGGTGGCCTGGAGGGATAACTGTGGAGTTAAGATCACTAGCTGCTCTTCCAGAGGACCTGGGTTTAATTCCCAGCACCCACATGGCAGCTCACAACTGTCTGTAACTCCACTTCTGGGGGATCTGATACCCACACACAGACATGCATGCAGGCAAAACACCAGCGCACATGAAATAAAAACTAAAACAAAAACAAAACCCCCAGAACCCCACCAAAACTAAGGGTGTGTGTAAATCCCTTATGAAAACACACTACTTTGTGTCAAAGATACAAAAATAAAAAAAATAGAGTTCAAACATAAGTACCCTGCCTACATGGGTGGACAGTGCTTTCCCAAGAAAATATGGGTTATTAAATTGAAATCTGTGCCAGGCTTGGAATACTTCCTTAGGAGTATTGGTCAGAAAGGCCACAGACGACCCTAAAATAGCATAAACTCTTGGTTTCTACCATAACTGTATGGTAAGACCCTATTGCTGAAGACACAATACACTTCGGTTGTGCAGCATGGAGAACTCAAGCTGGACCTGCCCTGAGAACTTCCTCCTTGTTAGATGGCTTCCACAGTGCAGCAGATGCTATGCAGACCCTTGGGGAGACAAGTTAGTAGTAGCATTGCCCAGCAGCGAACCCTGAATGCTGTAATACTGATCTTCTGGGCAAGAGGTGTGTGCCCATTGGTGCAAGTGACATGAGGGTTATGGGGCTAACCAGCCAGCTTCTGACTGGATTTGAGGCGTGGCACTGTAAACTGGGTCAAATGCCCATAGCTCAGGAGGTTATAGTGGGGAAGACCTCACTGCTGGTGCTTTGCTAATTGGCATTTGTCAAGCTGCTTTCTAAATATGTATATCAGTGTTATCCTCAACCGTGGCCGGAGAAACTGGTAGCAGTTAACGCACAGAGTCATAACTGGTTAAAGTGCTGAGAATAAGTGACTTTTGAGTGTTCAGCTCTAAATAGGGCATCTATAGTAACCCCAGATCCCCAAGTCTCAGGGGACACCATGGAAGAGGGAGTGAGGAGAATGTAAGAGCTAGAGAATGGAGAGGAGTTCAGTGAACGTGTAAAAAAACTGCCAATAAATAAATAAATAAATGAATGAATGAATAAATAAATAAATTTGCATGTTTACAATGTATCATATTCGTTTACCAAACCTGAAGCAGCAGGATGGAAAAGTCAGGGCCTGGTCAGCAACACTATGTTCAAGGCCATCCTGGGTAACTCAGTGAGACCTTGTTGCAAAACGATTAAAACAGAGGCCGGGTGTAGCTTGTCCTCTTCCCATCCTCACTGCTTTCCTTGTCTTTCCTTCTTTCTTTTTGTGACACACTGAGTGCAGTTGGCACTGTCTGGAATACAGGCTGAACCTGTTGGCTTGAGTAACTACGGCCACGGTGAGTTCACGAGTACAACAACCGTGTCAGGTTCAGAAGCCAAAATTTCACTGTGACACCACGCCCAGCTTCTAGGGCACCATTTAAGTTGCCCGTGTCACCTTGAGCAGTTTCTTACTTTCTGTCTTATTATTGATCCCTGTATTTCCAGTACCTACCCAGAGACCCTGTGTTTTCAAAGACTCTTACAACTTGATTTTCTCAGATTTGTCCCAACTAGGTGAAGTGAAGATTATGAAAGTTAGAGATGAGGTCTCCATTGATGGGAAAGTAGGAGGCAAGAGTCTGTCTCAGGGTTACCCTACCCGTGAGTGGCAGTGCCAAGACTTTGTCACAAGACTTTTCTACGTGGGGACACCCTGCCTGCCTGCTCCCATACCTCCTGACCTGTCTTTCCACAGTCTTCCACCTTTCCCATCTCAACTGCCACGGTACAAGCTCCTAAGCATTGCCTGAGACATGCTCTGAAGCCAGAGGCTCCTAGATGTCAGCATTTTTGCCCGCATGGTGCCAGATTCTACCACTAGGTGGCACCACGGATCTACCAGGAGCACAGTTCCCATGGGGACCACATCAGAAGTGATAACATTCCTCAGGTGCCAAGGCCTGTAGGTGGCGCCAGCAAGAGGTGGGTGGCCAATGAAAGGATCCCCACCACCTCAGCCTGCATTTATTAGAAAATGCTAGGATGATGCTGTTGACTTTTTGAGTTGAGGTTTAAAAAAAATTGGCAACAGGGATTCTTAATTTAACATTTTGTTCATCATGGGTTTCTGAGTATTGAGTTTGATTTTTTATTTTTCATGCCCTGGAGGCTATGACCAAGGAGGATTGGGCCAGTACAGTGGGCCTGTGCCTGATGTCTTGATGTCTTGAGTTGCTATGGCAACAGATGCCCTTGCTGTTGTACACCGCCCTTTTCTCTTTGTGAGGGCTCTGGGGTAGGAAGGAGCTCAAGGCAGCCACCATTCTGTTGCATGGAGTCATTGGGAAGAGTCGACCACTGGCAGTATTTAATATCTCAGGATATATGACCCCATCCCCTCCTTGCTACCCTTCACCCCCTCCCTCCCACCCCTCACCACCTCCCTGCCTGGCCAGGTTTCCCCAAATCTGTGAAGTCCACGGTGCCCCCATCAGGATACAGGTTAAAGCTCTGGTTAGTGGAAGAAGCAGGTGTTTTTGCTTTCTGGGACACTCCTTTGCCCTCCACATGGTTTAACTCTTTTCTGCAGGGAATGAAATGCCTTTCACCACTGCATAGGCTCCTAGGGCTCCTTCCTCTCCGTCTGAGAAAACCTGCCCTGCTCTGTCTCCTGCCTGAAGTGTATTCTCCATCCTCCACAGGACACCTCTGCTCAGGATGCTCCTTTCTCCCTGTGGATTCGGGCTGCACTTCAGAGGCGAGGCGGAAGGATGTCAAACAAGCTGCCTACCACACTCACCGGAACCAAAGGGCTGCCCACCACACCCACAGGAACCAAAGGACTGTCCACCGTGTACACACTGTCCCTCCCAATCTTGGTGCACAGCCAGCTGGGGAGCTTTGAAAAACACTGATGTCTATGGTCAGCTACCTGGGAGGCTGAGGCAGGAGGATTGCTTGAATCCAGGATGATTTAGAGATCAACAGAATCAACATAGCAAGCACCCGTTTGAGAAAGCAAGCAAATACCAAACAACAACACATTTCTCAGACCACACACAAGAGCAACTAAATCAGAGGCTCTGAAGCACAGTCCCCACACGTTAGGAGTTTATGACTCTCCCAAACCTCCAGTTGAAAACAAGCTGGTGGGTACTGAAAACAGGCTTAGGTTCTATTGAGTCTAAAATGCCACCTAGAGGCCAGAGCGGGTACTGCCTTCAGCTGCAGGAAGAGGCTGACCCTGAAGCTTTGGGGCTCTGGAGTCTGGAGTTCTATCCGCTACCGTGAATCCCAGGACAAGCCTCTCCTCCGTAGGCCCGCTATATTCACCACTCTCAATGTACACGTGGCACAAAACTGCCTTCCTGGTTCTTCCAAGCCCACCGGACAGCCCCAGAAACCAGAAACCGTGTCTTTTCAAGGGTGAGAGCGCTCCCGTGCCTGCATCCGACTCCCTCCATTCCGCGGCTATCTTCTCTGCACGCCAGGCTAGCGGCTCATCTAGAATTTAGTCTCAAATCTCAAAAACATGGAGAATAATATGTGTTTATTTAAGTACACATTTTAAAACCACATTTCCCTGTCCGTTCTGCTCAGGGTGGGAGTGGGGCATGAAGTTACATTTTAACAGGCTTGTGACACTGGGAACTGAATATAATGTTCATCTTTTAAGAGTGAGACGTTTCCTATGTACCTCTATTTCTTCATCTGTAACACGAATAATTACAGTACCCGCCCTAGAGGATCAATGCTACAGTGCCGATAAAAGGACCCATACAATATTGTCTAATAGGAGCCGCAGTTCCCAAGGGCTAACTGAACTGCCTGACAATGATTGGACCAGACAGAAGCATGAAATACGCTGACTTCTGTTCATTTTACTTTCATCACAACATGGCTTGGTTCACGAAGGTGAATAAAATTGGTCCTGAAAGCCAAATACTAAGGGAATCCGATTTAAAATAAATAAATAAATAAATAAATAAATAAATAAATAAATAAAGGTTGCCAGAGGTGTCAATTCCAGCCTTTAAAACCAAGTTGCAGTTTTGGATATTGCCGGCAGAGGGCAGTGCAGGGTCACAAATGAATGGATGAGTTCATGGACCATGCACAGTGGCTAAGGTTTTAACCACTCCCGGTGTGTGTGTGTGTGTGTGTGTGTGTGTGTGTGTGTGTGTGTGTGTGTGTGTGTGTGTGTGTGTGTGTGTGTGTGTGTGTGTGTGTGTGTGTGTTTAAGCCTAGAGTATCCTGTCTGCCTGCTTGCCGAGGTCTGAGTTTAAATGCCTTTCTATTAAATGATTTTTCTGGTTCCCATCTACAACTGGGGATCACGGTGACATTTTCAAGGTGGGTTCCGTTCTCATGTCCCATATGTCTTCCATGTGTTGTCTTCTCTCCCGCCAGCTTGGCAGACGGGTCTTATCATATAGCACCTCTGCAGAGTTTGGCCTGAGACCCTTCTCCATGTCTCCACCAATGGCACACGCTCAGTGCGGGAGATCTCGTCACTCGGGAAATGTTCATGGGCACCTCTTGTGCACTGTTCAACACACCATCCTTTCGCTAGCCCAAGGTAGGTCCTACAAAGGGCTAGGTTCTCTGACAGAGACTGAACTACTGTGACCACTCCAGATTCAGAATGACCCAAGTGTTTAGTAAGGGTAAGAACAAAACCCTATGCCTCGAGTCCCCAAATCTCAAATCCCCATAGTACAGTCCATGCTCACTTAGTGAAACTCCCTCCCTGCCAAGCTGACACAAACCTCAAAGCTTCCTGTAAGAACTGTGACAAGAACCCAGAACTGTGGTGATGGCCCCAGTCCAACTCTTCTGTCTTCAACCCATCCCATGAGACAAATAAAGCAACTACAGGGACTTACTTCCCAAGAGAGTCAAGATAGCAAACATCCCTCTCTCTAGCAGGCACTCAGATGATCCTGGGCTTGGCTGACTCTGGGGCTGCCGGAACAACCCTACCTCCAGGTTCTCATTTAAGAGCGTTTTGATTGCATGTGCTCCTTAAGGAGAATAGGCGACAGTGTTCTTGCAAGATTATGCAGCGTTAGAGATGGGGAGGTTGATGGGATCCTTGACTTGAGTGCTGTAGACTATTTTAAGACATGGCAGGGAAGGATATGAGGAACCAAAGGACTTAATGCTGATGAAATCAGAGAGAGCGCAGCATCCTTGCTGGGGGTGAACTGCTAAGATGGGATTGAGATGAGCGGATGACACACGGTGCTCAAGACAGCAGCAGAAGAGGGCATCTCAGTCTGTTTGATCACCCTAGAAGAAAGAGAGAACACTGAAGAAATCCATGGTGGAATCACACTGTGAGCCCTAGGCTTGATCTAATTTACACCCCACAGGACAAGCATACAAAAAAAATGTGATGTCTGTGGGGGAGGAAACTATGGTTAAAACAAGAGTTTAGGACCACAGGATCATATTCAAGAGGTCACTTGATGGCCCGGAAACAGATCACTGACAATGCCTTCTAGAAACAGACAGTGCCCCATCTAAATGCTTCTTAAGGTTGTGGTGAGCATAACTGCCCATCAATACTAAGGAGCTAAGGTATCTGAGACAGGCAAGCACTGCTAACTGCACTGGTCAGGAACAAAAGACCACTCAGTATATTATTCCACCCATGTGAAATGTCCAGATTGTCCGGGCCCGAATGTGATATTTCGATACAGGCCTCAGCTCAATTCCAGGAGCTCGAATCTCCTATTGTCTTTTAGATGTTGGCTGGTTACCTGCAGATGGCCTGGCCACAGTGGAGAATGACTTCTAGTTTGCTTAACAATAGGCCTAAGCCCCGCACCCATCTTGGGGATGTGCCTGGGGGCCAGTGAGGCACACCTGAGAACTAGTGAGACTTGCTTTGCTAGAGGTCTGAGGGTTTGTGTCTGTGCATTCTAGCACCATCTCTAGGGTTAAAGGAAGTGTTTCCTAGTCAGCCTTATATACATGGCAATAGATGTCTTCTGGCAGTACCCCTTCTTCTAGAAATCTATTTAAGCGTATGGACTGGGAGCCCTCCTGAATGACAAGATGTCTCTGTCTCGTTCTTAACGCCACTGATTGGGTAGCTAGGACTTTCCTGATCCACAATCCCCCACTCAGGGTCAAACCCGGGGCTGTTCTGAACACAGCCCCAAAGACATCAGTCCAGGATAGATGACCCCTATAGTGTAGGACTGATACAAGGCCGGACCCCGGCACCAGATCAGGCAAATCTCCACAAACAAAAGTTTGATGAGTGGATGCCAAAAAGTGAGGGGTGAGAATGAAAAGTGCTACTTCACAGGGGTGGGGCTGTTTGAGGGTGCTGAAGTGTTCTAAAATTAAATAGCGATTGACACTTGCACATTTCTGTGAATGTGCCAAAGCTGCTGAACCTTTAATAGGTGCACATTAAGGTATGTGAAATTCACTGTAGTAAACGTGTAGAGAGAAGATAGGGAAGTGTGTGGTACAATTTACAAATATTCCACTAGAAATGACACCACAGCATACAAGGATTACATTCATTTGCTGGAGATTTCACAGTGTGGGAAATTTTATCCTGAGGCAATGCCACCAAGGGAGTATTTCTAACCCACCAACAGGAGTGAATGAAAAGCAAAGTGATTAGAGAGAAAAAAAAGATGCACCCCCAATTCAGTAGAATTCATGGCTCTTAGAGAAGGGACTCAGAAGATCATGTGACCACACAGGGAAGCTCTATTACTTCACGAATGAAGAAACAGTCTAAAAGAGCACCAAAGGCTTGAAAATGAAAATAGTCTCCTTTGTACCTCCACTTGTCCACCTCACTTAACCACTGTGCCCAGGGTTTGTTGTTGCTTTGTTTTGTTTTACTTTACCAGACAGGATTTCTTTGTGCAGCCTCGCTGTCTTGTAACTAGTCCTGTAGACCAGGCTGGCCTTGAACTCACAGAGATCTGCCTTTCTCTGCCTCCCCAGTGCTGGAATTAAAGGCATATGCCACCATCATCAGGTGATATTTTCTACTTCTTGTAGATCCTAATAGTAGGTTCCACATAGGAGTGAGATCCTGTGAAAACTGTCTCCCTGCATCTAGTCTGTTTCTCTGCACATAATGACTTGAGGTTTTCTCAGCCTAGGTTTGTGCTGCAGCTCCTCAGTCTCACCAATGGGGGTGGAAACATCGCATTAGCTGTGGGAGATGGACGCAATGGATGCCTACATCACCATGGGAAAGACACATGCGGCCTGATGTCCAGGAAGATGCTGCTTCTGCACATGGTGGCTAAGCAGTGAGGGGACTGTCTGGAAAATCACCATTGGGTACCTTTCTGGGGGAAGGAGACATAACCACGGGGCTCCCATCAACCGTGAGGTGCTCCATCTCCCTGGTGATAGGCTGGTTGCTCTGCAACAGCAAGGGCGCTGCCCTGAAACGCGGCACCAAAACAGGAGGAGGGGAGTCCAGGCGCCAAGTCCCCTCGAAGACTCTTCTCACTCAGAAGTATTTTTAGTCGTGGTAATTGTAGGAGGTGAGCCGAGCACTACAGCCCTGAAAATAGGTGCCTCTCGAACACGCAAGATCAGCAGGTGCCACCTCCGTAAGCAAGCCTGCAAGGAGGAAGGGATTAGCTGTGCGCGGGACAGCTTCCCAGAAGAGGCTGTCTTGCAGGATGATCTGGGGTGACCTTTCTCCGGAGATTAACGTGCTTCTCCCCTTGTGCCATTAGCAAGCAGCGCAACATCTGACACTTGGGATACTGTGTGTTGTGGTAACAGGGAGAGTAAACGCAGGGGCATGGTGGTCGCTAGAGTGGATACTGGGCAAGGGGAATTGGGAAATGGAACGCATCAGTGTGTATCTCCGGAGGTCCAACGTGTTCTGTCTCCAGACAGATGCCCTGGGCCTATGATATGGAAATAGTCAACAGAACTTCAGAAAATAAAAATAAAATGGACACAAAAAGTGGACACTAAGACGATCTAACTTACGATCTCTGCTCGCACAGGGATACAGTTTGGAATGGGCTCCAAGGCAGGTGTAGTGAAGGCTTGCTGTGTTCAGCACAGTGGCCACTGGGGAGGTAGGGGATCTTGAAAAGGCGGGGCCCAGTGGGAAGATTTCCAGTGACTGGGGGTATACCAGCCCCGTTCTCCTCCACTCACTTTTGGTTTCTTTTTGCATCCCAGCCACACGGTGAGCTGCCTTGCTGTGCCATGGGCTCATGCAATGATGTGCTGTCCTCCTCCCCCACCAGAGGCCTGGAAGCAATGGGTCTCTCCAACTAAAACCTCTAAACTCTGAGCCCAAGTAAGCTGCTTTTCTTTACTCCGGGTTGGCTGCCTTGGGTCTGCGCTAACAGACAGCGGGTGACTGTGCCCAGTGACATTAGGCCTGAGATTGGGTCTGCTTTTTGGACCTAGACATGCTCCCTTTATAGATGGATAATGGATTCTGGCAACAAAATTCAATGGCTTATGAATTTGGTGACCACTGATGGAATTTTGATCACTTGATTATCCCACGTGCCTGGTAAACCACATTCTAAAGCGGCAATGTGGGACCCTTCCACTGGAGTGCTTACTCTACAGCAAATGGCGCGGGAAAAGCTGGCAAAACAATAATTGTCTGTCTTGTTGTGGCTGCATCTGAGAGGGCCACCTGCCTGCTGTCACCAAGTCTTGTTTATAGTCTATGTGAACAGGTCAGTCAGTCCTATTCTCTACCTGTGAGAAAGCTCAGCTGCCACCCATGTCGATGGCTTCCGGTTCCGCCTGCACATTGAAATCACTGAAGGAACCTGGGAAAGTGACAAAACCTGGAGCATGGGCTCATCCCTCAGGGCTGTTCACTGAGCTGGTTGAAAGAAGATGCCCTGCATCAGTATTTTGCAAATCTACTCAGGTGATTCAAAGGCAAAGGCGCGGCTCTTAACACTTGACCCCGCTCAACAGTTCTACTTCTAGGAAGGTAAAGTAAGACCCACAGAATTCAAGGGACAAGGCAGAAACTAAAGCTCACATAATTAGTGACTTCTAGCAGTTAAGTCAAGCTATGCTCTGTTTTGGGCAACGGCCGTCTCCTAAATCCCCTCTTTCATGTGTGCTTTTCAAATTTCCTTACTCACATGCAGCTTTCTACATCCTTAACGTGCTTTCAAAAGTAACTTATTTTTATTTGCATTGGTGTTTTTCCTGCATGTATGTCTTATGAGGGTGTCAGATCTTAGAGTTACAAACAGTTTTAGCTGCCAGGTGGGTGCTGGGAATTAAACTCGGGTCCTCTAGAAGAGCAGTCAGCGTGTTCTTAACCGCTGAGCCATCTCTCCAGCCCCCGCTTACATGCTTTAAAAATGACTCTTCACAATACCATTTAAGCTGTGCCCTCAGCAATAAAGCCTGTGAAGTTCAAATTGAACTGCAATGGATTTAATAGCAGACCAGTTTCTTTTAGCTGTCAGCCACACCACTGTCTTGCATCACATCTGGAGACTTCCAGGGCTGAGTGCTCTTGGGAAGGTCTGGGGTGGGGCTGTAGACCCTTGGTGAGCCTTGACTGTAGGAGCAATGAGAGAAACCGCAGCGGCCACAGGAACTGGGCAGGGGCTGATCCCCATGGGGTCTGTGCTGGCTAATCTTATGTCAACTGGACACAAACTAGAGTCATGTGGAGAGAGGGAACCCCAACTGAGAAAATGCCTCCAGTTGAAAGGCATTTGCTTAATTATTGATTGATAGGGGAGGGTCCAGCCCATTGTGGGTGGTGCTATCCCTGGGCTGGTGGTCCTGGGTGTAGCAAGCTTTCTTGTTAGACTATCTTTTGACTTCCCGTCCACAAATAATGACCCAGAGACTTATTATTAATTATTAAATCTTGGCCTTAGAGTAGGCTTTTCCCCAAATAGCTCTTATAACTTAATTAACCCATATTTTAAAATCTACATTCTGCCATGTTACCTCTTCTTAGTATGCCCCATCCAACTTGCTCTGGGTCTGCTGGTGAAATCATGTGCCTAGATTTCACCTCCAGTTTCTCTCTCTGTCTGCCCAGAATTCCCACCTATCCTTTTTGACTTACCTATTGACCATTTAGCTCGTTATTAAATCAATCAGAAGTTGTCTTAGGCAGAGACACATATTTACAGTGTAAACAAATATTTTGTAACACCTGAGTTCTATAAGAAAGCAGGCTGAGTAAGCCATGTGGAGCAAGTCAGTAAGCATCACCCCTCATGGCCTCTGCGCCTGCTCCTGCCTCCAGGTTCCTGCTCTGTTTGAGTTCCTGTCCTGACTTCCTTTGTTGATAACAGCAATGCGAAAGAAGTGTAAGCCAAATAAACCCTTTCTTCCTCAATCTGCTTTTTGGTCATGATATTTCATGGCAGCAGTAGCAACCCTACTAGGACAGGGTCTGTCAAGGCCTCAGTGTTACCCACCTCAGGAGTAAGGAAGACGGATAGACACAAGGACCAGGGACCACGTGATTTGGTTCACCTCTTCTGGAAAAGGCCACAGCTCATCCTAGCCAAAAAGACTGTGAAAACGAGGCTGCCCATCTGTCACCTGGAATCTGCTGCAGAAACACTTAAATTGATGTAGAAGAGGAGGAAAATGACACTTCAGAGTGCTTAGAAAGTGACACCAGAGGACACAGTTTAAATTAAATGCCACCTTTAGCTCTTTGGGTTCTGAAGGACTCAAACTTTCCAGTTTATCTCTTCACTTACTGAGACTTACTTTCCTTTTTTGTGTAAGACAATTAGTCTTGCTCCCTTTATAAACACAGTCTAAACTGACACGTAATATTCTGAAATGAGAGGGGGGGAAAAGATGTATCCCCCTGTCTTCTGAGTTCGGCCTCAGGATGAGAAAGGTCCTTGAGATTTGACCAATAAATTATCCTTAATTAGGGTTTTGATAAAGAGGTTTCCTGGCTTTCAAATTAGGGAGAAGAGATGTGAAAGGCATTGCAGGGCTGCTGAGATGACTCGGTAGGTAGACACCTGTCTACCTCTGCCCAGTCCTCGGGGCCCATAGGGGAGGTAGAGGATAGCATCTTGAGAGGAGACCTCTGATCTTCACACACACTGTGCCATGGAATTTCTGCTGATACTGATGCATGAACATCACACACACACACACACACACACACACACACATACACACACACACATAACTCTCTCTCACACACACACACACACACACATAACTCTCTCTCTCACACACACACACACAACTCACACACACACACACACACCACATGCACACACACACACACCACATGCACACACACACACACACATAACTCTCTCATACATACACACACACACACCACATGCACACACACACACACATAACTCTCACACACACACACACAACTCACACACACACATAACTCTCTCTCACACACACACAACTCACACACACACAACTCACACACACACACAACTCACACACACACATAACTCTCACACACACACACACAACTCACACACACACACACAACTCACACACACACACAACTCACACACACACACAACTCACACACACACACAACTCACACACACACACATAACTCTCTCACACACACACACATAACTCTCTCACACACACACACAACTCTCTCTCACACACACACACATAACTCTCTCTCACACACACACACAACTCACACACACACACATAACTCTCACACACACACACACAACTCTCTCTCTCACACACACACACACACAAAACTCACACCTAAGTATAACACACATTAAACTTAAAAAAGGAAGGGATTGGAGAATCCTTTAGTGAAATGAGAGGACCTGGAATCCTTCAAACCAGCCCTTCTAGACAAAACCCAAGACCATGTGTTTCTTTCTTCATTTACACATAGAATAATGGTATAAAGCAGGAATGTACACACTAGCTTGAAGGAAAGCTGCTGCCACTGGGAGAAAAGCAAGGGAGAATTGTAGTATTTATTATTACGATTAATCTTTTTTTATTTTTACGAGAATGATTAATCTTAAATATTTGAAGTAAATAAAAACATTTATTGAATCTGACTGGCAGGTCATGGATACTTATTAAATTGTTTATCTAACTTTCCTGTCAACTTGTCTTTATAGAGGAGAGCAAAAGTTTTTTCAGGGAGTATGATGTATAGGTGTGGACATGTATACCACAGCTCATGTCTGGCGTGTGGACATAAATTCATTAGATATGCAGACCCACTGTGATGCAAAGGCTTGCATTGTTTATATGGGGATACAGATGCAGAACTCAGCTTCTGTTGCATAAAATGACATGTATATTTAGCAGGAAGGATTTGTTAAAGAGCTGAGGGAGTAAGGGTTGGTGAGATGGCTCTTTTGGTAAAAGCTCAGATTCTCAGGACCGATGACCTGAGTTTGAATCTTGGACCACATGGAGAGGTGGAAGTGTTCTCTGACTTCCACACATGAGCTGTGGTGTACATGTCCACACATACACATCATAGCACAGTCCACACATATACATCATACACACAGCTCACACATACACATCAGACACACAGCTCACACATACACATCATACACACAGCCCACACATACACATCAGACACACAGCCCACACATACACATCAGACACACAGCCCACACATACACATCAGACACACAGCCCACACATACACATCAAACACACAGCCCACACATACACATCAGACACACAGCCCACACATACACATCAGACACACAGCTCACACATACACATCAGACACACAGCTCACACATACAAATCATACACACAGCTCACACATACACATTAGACACACAGCCCACACATACACATCAGATACACAGCTCATACATACACATCAGACACACAGCCCACAATACACATCAGACACACAGTGCACACATACACATCAGACACACAGTCCACATACACATCATACACACAGCCCACACATACACATCATACACACAGCCCACACATACACATCAAACACACAGTCCACATACACATCATACACACAGCCCACACATACACATCATACACACAGCCCACACATACACATCAAACACACAGCCCACACATACACATTACATGACACACACATGTAATAACCACAAAACTTTTAAAGAGATAAGAAAATAATGTTTAGTTAAAATCCTTGCACCAGTAAAATATGTTGAATTAAAAAGCGCTTAATTTAATAAAACATCCTTGTTTTTCCAAAACATGATGCCTCAAAAACTTTATTTCTTGAATTTACTTACAAATGTAATGATATATGATATCATCTACATTCATTGGACATGTCAAGCAGTATTAAAGAAGTTGACTCCCATCTCTCATTTCAATTCTGCCCCCACCCCACAAGTTAGCCAAGGTAACCCCCTTGACTTTGTCTTTCTGTCTCTTTCTCTAAGAAAAAAATTAAACCTTGTTCTTGCAAATCTTCAAAGCAATTAAAAATCTTGTGATTAACAATAACTTTTTTTAATAGCACCACAATCATTTTGGAAAAATGCACGAGGGAACAAAACCAAGATAAAATAAGAACTATTAAGTGGGCATGCATTTCTAATTCAGCTTGAACAGACTTTGTACCTTTTAAATCCTACATCAAAGATTTAGGCTAGACTCTATTTGCTAGCATGTGTGCCTGTGTCTTCGCTTCAAACAGTCCCTTTCTGTGAGTGTGTCTTGAAGATCCCAGGGGGCTCAATAATTTCAGTTGGTAAGTCACCAAGGATCCCCTAAGACTTGCAGTGGGAACCACCGTTGCTCCCCAGGGCATAGCAGGGTATTCCACTGCCTTCTCCTAGACTTCTGGATGGCCACAGCTTATCACCCCCCCTCCCATCTGCCCATTCTCCTCTGTCCTTGCCTACTCTACCTCCCTTGCCCTACTCCATCTCTGCCTCCAACTGGCAGAAGAAGTGTCCATGTCACTCACTTCTTGGGTAACAGGAGCTCCTCAGCTGTTCTGGTCCTGGTTTGTAAGGACATCTCTGTGTCATCCTGGCTCCTACAACAGCCAGCCTCCAGAAGTCTTCACCTGTCAAAGCTGGGGGTTGACTTTTATTTCCTTACGAGAACTCTGTAAGAGAACTCAAAATAAAATAAATCATCACACACACTTGATAAAGGCTCAGCAAAGTCACCCCAGCCTTCTCCTGAGATTGCTACTTTAGAATCAAACTTTCCCCTAAATCTATGTGGGGGGGGGGGCTTACCATGTGGTCCTGGAAGGTGTGCAGGGGGATAGCCACACCAGAAAGATCCAAAGGCAGTGTTAACCTCTCTGGAATGAGCAAAGCCCAGAGCCAGAGGCAGGATGGGAGGTGCTGAGCAAGGGAGATGGGACACTTTAGTCACGAATTGTCATTAACTTCCACGGAGCTTCAGAGAAAGGAGTGGGGTTTCCTGGGCAAATAATCGGTCCTTTCTCAACAGTCTCATTTCTTCCTCCACGCCTCTCTTTCTTTTGTGCTTTCTCTCCAGTCTAAAACACCCTTTTATAAAATAGGTTATGTGGAACCAAATTAGCATCATAATCTTTGCCCAGGGTGTGCCTGTAGTCCCTGGGGGACAATGACTGGTGGAGCAAGCCAGCAGCTCTCAGGGACTATGAACAACTACAGTGAACCCCACACTAAAGCAGGGGCTTAGGGTGCAGGCTGGCTGTGACAAATATTACCATCTGACATTGATACTGGGGAAGAGTGCACGAGGAGGAATGAGTATGGGATGGGATGCTAATTTTGTTGTGAGCCTAAAACTGCTCTGATGAAGTGCATTTAAATTAAAGGAAAAAAAAACACTCTCAAGATGCAACATTTTGTACTGTACCTGCTTGTGCAACACTGCTGTTAAACAAAACCAACAAGCAGAAAGAAACAAGGACTTTTAAGATAGTCCCCAAGGTCTAACACCACTAAGCACTCTGTGATCTTGTGTGGGGACAAGGAGCCTTGAACAGACCACATTCCTGTGCCTGGTGCCAGGGTCCTTTGGCATTATCATCTTACACAGGGAGAAGCAAGAATGTCCTTATAATCCAAGGCCTGGGCTCTCCTTCCTTGATCCCTGTGGGGTAAGAAACCTGAGGACAGAATGAGCCTGCCAGTCATGGCTGAGAGATGAGACCAGAGCTACAGATCCTGCTGGAGATGATCTCAGGAACTCTATCAGGTCAAGCGACCTCAGCTGATCTGCCTGACCCTGGGTTTTTCTGTTGATCCTGATCAAGGAAACCGTATTATTAATCATGCTATTCAGCAGACACCATTCCATTGCTTATTATTATTATTATTATTATTATTATTTGGTTTTTTTGGCAGGGTTTCTCTGTGTAACTTTGTAGACCAGGCTGGCCTTGAACTCACAGGGATCCACCTGCCTCTGCCTCCCAAGCACTGGGACTAAAGACCTGTGCCACCAACACCCGGCTCCATTGCTTATTATCACAACCCAGTTCCACACCTCCTGAGTACCCCCATGTGCCACACAGTACCAAGTCCCTTACATACATCCGCTCCCCTCTTCAGGCTTTGGAAGGAGGTGACAGTCTTATCTCCGTGTAATGAGTAAAGAGCCTCTAGAGGGAGGAAATAATTTGTTAAAGTCACAAACACATTAGGTTTGGGGACTCAGAAAAACTGTCCATCCAGACACGCACCAAAATCATGTCTGCCTCCTGTGTGCTGCCCTTCAGAGCTCAGGCTGTGGCTGATGGCAGGAGGGTGCTGAGGCTTTTGAGGACTGCATCCCAAGGTGGGTTAGTTAAAGGCCCTTTGTCCCCCGTCTCTCCCTGTCTCGCTAGAGCATCCCATGCTCATGCTTCCCTTGCCCTACCCAATGATCCTGGGTAGCTGACTTTCCTCCAGACTCACTAAGCTTTCTTAGACCATGTGGTAAACATGGCTTTTGTGCTCCCCCTGCTGCTATGGCTCCCCCTTCATTCTTTCAGAAAGACCTATCTTTTAGGAATAGATTGCACTGGTAAATATTGTTATGCAGAGATCAAGTTTAGTTATCAGTTTGGGTTGACAGAATGGGCAGGCAGTTACCCCTGAGAACCCATTCACTTATTTCTCAGTATTAATGTCTAAAATGTGCCCCGACCCCCCGACTCTGCTAGTCACAGAAAGTTGACTGACACTTTGTGGGTCTTCTGACTAAGCAGCTGATTGCCAAACTATGAGTGAGGGACATCTTTTGCTTACTGGGAAACTCATTGTCACCCACATACTAAGCTCCTACCCTGGATCCTTGCATTTGCTGTTTTTTATGCCTGGAATGTCCTGAGATTTTCTCAACTGGTATCTTCTGTGGTACAGATTGCAACTCAATTCCTTTCTCATCAGAGACTTTCATCAGCATCTCAGTGTCATTCTGCTACTTAGTTATCATGTCCCTTTGCTTCATTCACTTCACTTTCCGGAGATACTGTTGTTATTTGTAGGCTTGGTCATCCCATCTCAAGCAATTACAAACCCCACAGGAAAACAGTCTTACAGTCTTGCTTTTAATTTTCAGAATTTGGAATGCCCCCCCCCGCCCCCAGACACACACACACACACACACACACACACACACACACACACACAGAGAGAGAGAGAGAGAGAGAGACAGAGAGACAGAGAGACAGAGAGACAGAGAGACAGAGAGGATTCTGCAGATACTAAAAGGGGACTCAAGGTGGCTGGGGACATGATCAGGCATGAGGCTCTGGGTTTCTTTCTCCAAATGACAAAGCAACGATGGGCATGAACAGTAACTGCTCTATGAGAAATCTGTGAGAACACTGGATCTGGAGCACAGTGAACTAAAATGATGACCAGGCCGAGTCAGGCCAGAGGGCACCAACAACGATGCTGTAGTAGAAAACGATTTGCACAAGGGGATGGACACCAGTGTGGCCAGGAGCAAGAGTTTACAAAGGCAAGCAGTGAGAGATGAGCCTGCAAAGATAGGCTAGGCCAGCTCAGGGTAGGATCTCAACGCCAGCCTCAGAACGTATTCTCAAAGATGCAGAAGACTAAAACCTCATCCAGCTGCATCTCCATCAAACAGAATTCATCATGTTCCATGCTAGAAGTGTAAGTTCAGTGGCAGAGGGCTTGCCTAGCGTGCACATGATCCAAGATCCGAACCCCAGTGCAGTAAAAGAAAATCTTACTCTGAAAAGAATGAACCTCTGAAATTTTTAGATAACACTATATAATATTCAGACGTCTTTTTTCTGAGTTAAATTTTTAAAAAGGTTTTTTTTGTGTACAGGGGACTGAGAAGGCTCTGAGGAGCAGAGCTCTTCCCCGGGGACCCTATGTGCAGGGCGCTCACGACACAGGCAGGCATAGCACATTTAATCAGATTTGGTACAGACTGTAAATCTGCTGGCAGTGCTGGGACTTCACAAAAAGCGTGTTACGGAGGAGATCTGCTCTTAGGAAGACCGGTTCTGCCATTAAAACACTTGAAAGCAGACCCAAAGGGGGCAACTACAAGCCTCTATCCTGCAAGCATTTGGGAAAAGTGCAAGGAATATTGATTGGTATTTTAGGAGTGGAAGGAGGCTCTTGCTTCTTTAAAAATGCATAAGCAAAGTCACTAAAAAACCATCTGTGTTAATGGCAAGGTGGAAACAGGGCGGCTCTGTGTGAGGGAGAGTGACACTGCAGAAGTTTTAAAAGGACCCCATGATGTCTAAAAGTAGACAAGAAACGCTGGAAGTGTCCTTAGCCCAGATCAGCTTCTGTTTGTGGCTCCACAGGCCATTTGCTACATCCACTCACTCCTCAAGGATCAGCTGCTCCCTTCCAAGTATTAAGATGTCAGCGAAAATCTACCTTCTGGGGAAATTCAATCTGGGGAGAGGAGCTGCTGACACTCGTAAAAATAGCTCTCAGCCCCTGTGAAAGAGTAGAGCTGTGTGTGTGTGATCCTCAGGACTTTGTGTTCAGATGCACCCGGCCTGGGGTCAGGAAGTCAGAGGGGGCTAGGGCTGGGCTTCAGGGACTCTTGCAACTCCCAGAAATTCAACAGCATCAACAACAAAAACTCAGGTCTTTACAGAAAATTTAGGAGAAATCTTTCACCAGAATTTGAGATGTTTCACACGTCCCCATCCCAAAATTAAGAACCATCGTCTTAGTGTATAATGGCCTTAGTGTATAATGTCCTCTCTTAAAAAATAATTTTTCATTGGCCAAGAAATATTTAAATACATATCATGTATTCTCTCTCTCTAGTTGGAGCTCAATAGGTAGGCCAGACTGGCTTTGAACTCACGGAGATCTGCCTGCCTCTGACTCCCAAGTACTGATATATAAATGTATGTACCACCACTTCTGGAGCGTGAATACATAGGTTTAAGAAAAACCTTAAGCTGTCCGCTTAAGCACCTTAAGGGTTGGTGCTGCACGCCTTTAATCCCAGCACTCGGGAGGCAGAGGCAGGCGGATCTCTGTGAGTTCGAGACCAGCCTGGTCTACAGAGAGAGTTCCAGGACAGATAAGGCTCTTTACCCATCCCTCCAGTTTAGAGCTGTTCTTATCTTTAAGTACATTTTCATAATTATGCACACACGCAGAAACTACAGAGTATTTATGTATGTGCTGGTAAATTTCAATGGTGCTGTGTGTGTGTCTGAACTTGTAGTTGTACCCCACAAAGTCTAAATGCTACTTCCACATCCTACATAAGAGCCCATTCATCTCTTTTCAGCTGCTGCATGGCCCCCCCAGGCAGGCTGTGGTCAGTGGACAGCCACACCTCTACAGAAGAACACTTAGTTTCTTCTAGTTTTCCACCACCTGAGCTGCAACATGAGATGAGCACAATTGCACAGGTCTCTGTCTGTGTTTCTCTAGATTGGTCACATGATGTGCATTACATTTAAAAATAAATAAAAGTATAATTACACCATTTTTCTCTTTCTCTTTCTTCCTGCCAACCCCTTCCATGTATCCTCTCTCAGACTTTCTCTCAAACTCATGGCCTTTGGCCTCTTTTTATTTAGATATATCACATATTCATATTTTTATTTTGCAATTAAATGTTTTTCATGTAATATATGTTGCTTATGTCTTTCCCTTTCTAAACTCCTTCTGGATCCTCCCTACCTCCCTAATTTCCTACCCATGTAGCTTTATGTTCTTTCTCCTTCTTTCAAAAAAGAAAAAAAAAGCCCACAAAACAAAATCAAAACAAATAAGACAAAAACAAAAAAGCCAAGCCAAAATCTGCTTACAGAAAAACCATGGAGTTTGTTTGTGTTGGCCAACTACTCCTAGGCATGGAGCCTTCCTTGGAGTGTAGTTGATACACTCAGTGACATTCTATTATGGTTTCATATGTGTATCAGTCCTGATCTGATCTATGGGTTTCAAAATATATCATCAGGAATCATTTTATTGTCATGTTCCTTTAGCAGAATAATAGTTAGTTTTCCCTCTAGGTCTATGACCTATCTAGTCTCAGGATTTTGGTCACTTTAGTGGTGCCAGTTATGAGTCCCATCTCTTGGAGTGGGCCTTAAATCCATTCAAAAAGTGGTTAGTTACTCCCATAACCTTTGTGTCCCTATTGCACTAGTATGTCTTGCAGTTAGGTGACTGTTGTAGGTTGCAGGGTTTGTAGCTGGGTGACAATGATGATTAACTTTCTCTTCTGGTAGTGTACAAAGAACTTTCTAGCAACATGAATGCTAGTCTGTAGGCGAGAAGCTTCTAGTTAGGCACCAGCTCAATTTCTCTTGAGTTCTATGACGTAAGTAAGAGCTTTCCTCAGCAGTAGGGCCTTATCATTAGGTTATGGATAGTTTTGACAATATCCTGGGATGTTTGGGGGATTCAATGGGGTCCCTTTGGCTAATGACTCAACAAAATGTAACCCATTCGTGGCACTGGAGATGTTACGTGGTAGGATAAGATGTCTAGTTGGGTGGTCAGGAATGGCATTCATTTTGACAATGTAACAGAAAAGGTTTTTTTATGTTTCCTAAATTATGTTTAGGAACATTTTGTTAGTAAGATCAATTTTGGCAGTAACAGCAAGCAAGCTAAAGAGTGAAAAAACTTTAAATATGATAATTTAAATAATGAATGCAAAATAAGGAACATGAATTGGTTTACTATTATAAAGCATAACTCCCTCTAAAAATAATAGTTCCTATGTGTTACTTGAATAATTACCCTTACATTGTCAATAAATATCTGGGACATAATTCTTGTTTTCTGTACTCTCAGTTCTAATAAAATTTATTGCCTTTAAAAAAAGATGTCTAGTTGGGACATTGTCTCTCCTACTATTTGATGACTACATTTATGTTTTATATACGTGTATATTTTAAGAAGCTTCTACAGTTGGTTTCAATATGGTTTTAGTGTTAGTTGTCCCTTACATATTGTCTCTTTTACCCTTTTCTCCAATCTCACTATTTAATTCTCTTCCCAGTCTCCATTTTATCTCTCCATAACATTATATCTGATTTCCTTTCTTTGGGAGACCCTGTCCTGCCCCATGATCCCTTACTGGCTACCTAACCTCTGTGGTTAGAAGAAGAGTCCCTTCAACATTTTCCCTGAGGATTTTACCTAGAAACACAGTCATATAAGCTTACACAAGAGAAGGTAAGACAGGAAAGAAAGAAGCAAGAAAAGAAGAAAGGGAGGGAGGGAAAAGGGAGGAAAGAAGGAAGAAGCAAGAAAGGTTCGGATTTGTCTAAAATGTTTATGCTATGTCGTTTCTGAAGCAACCCACTTGGGTTCTCAGCTTGATTCTGAGGTTCACCAGCTACAGAATGCTTAGTGGTAGTGACTAAGCTTCTGTTTGTTCTTCTGTGAAATGAACTTTACTATCACTGCCTGAGAGACATGTGTGCATGCATATCTGTGTGTGTGTGTGTGTGTGTCTGTCTGTCTGTCTGTCTGTCTGTAATACACATTAGGTGCTACAAGTCCAGTAGCACTAGTGAGTTTACCCTCAGACCCCTCCCACTTTGTGACTCATTGGAGCCTTCTCCTGGCTCCACTGATAGACTGATTCTACTTTTACTCTTCTTGTAGGACAACAAAATCTTTCCCAGGCCTCCCAATCAAATCTTCAAATGATCTTAAAATTTAAATTTCCCAAGTTGCTTCGTGTTTACGCCACTGTACAGGAACTTGTTTAGAAATGATGCAGTAAAAAAATCTTTACTCTCAAGTAACTTGGGGAGGCAGGAGGGTTGTTAGTGTCATGTGGCAAACATTGGGGTTTGTTAAATAGGTGGGTCTTGTGCTGATGACAGAGAAAGAGAAAGAGAGAGAGAGAGAGAGAGAGAGAGAGAGAGAGAGAGAGAGAGAGAGAGAGAGAGAGAGAGAGAGAGAGAGAAATCGCATAGCAGGTAGGAGAACAGCATCAACAAAACAAACCACGGTCCATGGTAGTGGAAAGGTGTGAGAAGGACGACAGCTCACAACCAAGGACTAAGAAGTTTTAAAATTTAGACATTCTCAATTTCTCAAATCAGGGTGATGCCTAGACAGTGGCAGAATTGTTCGAGTCAGGAGAGTTCAGGATTTCCAGGGTTGTGGTCCTGTTTTAAGAAGGGCAACATTCTCAGATGCCATTTCAGGAGCTAGTTTTTTTTAAAGTCTTCTGTCTACTTATTATATGACATTTCATAGTGGGGTCTCTATTCAGGTGCTCTTTGTACTCGGACCCACCAGCTACACCAGCATGGAGGATATTTGGTTTGAAAGTAGAATCTCAGCTTTAGGCTTTCAGAGCAATGATTGGGTTCATTTCTATTCCATCACTGTTTCCGTGCAGAGTTTTACGACAGTTTACGAGTTTTCTGAAACAAAGCTGGGAATTGGCTCGCTAACTCTATCTCCCAATAAGGGTCCTAAAGATTCTAGGGCTGTGTTCAAAGGTGTAACCAAGTGTCACTAGGCTTGTAAAGCTCTGAGACCATCATTTCCTCTTTGAGAACTGGTTTGTAACTGTGCCTTCTAGGCTGTCTCAGACGGAGGCAATAGTAGCTCCTATGTTCTCCATAAGAAACTTGTGTATGAAGTGTACACACATGTCAGAGAGAGGACTGAACACTCAAAACATCCATGAGGTATCAAATGCCAAGTCTGTGTGCTAAGTGAACTATTCTCCCATATTCAATGTTCTGGCATATCTCATGGCCATGACCTTGGCAGGGATCTACCTTCTCATAAGGCAGTGATTCTTAATCAGGAGACATTCCCTTCCCCATCTGACACTGACAATGTCTGGAGGTGTTTGTGGTTGTCACATCTCAGGGGAGTAGGCTGCTACTGAAGAGAAAGGCTGGAGCCACCATTAAATTTTCTACAAGGCAGGTTTACCCCACAACTGAGTCTGCACATCAGAGGACAAGAAGGCCTGGAAGAGGGGAGAGCAGGGGGACTTGGTGTCTCTAGTGTAGAATTTTGTTTAAAATGCAGTTAAAAAGATGTTGTAATGTATCTCAATTGCTACCCCCTGTCAATCTGTTGACAGCTCATTATCCTTGGGAACTGGTGATTTACAGTTCAGGACTTGACATGGACAGTCATCAGGTATCCATACACAGGAATTAATTTTAGAGATTCATGTTTCTTATTTCACTGTGTAGCATTTCATTTTTCAGGCTTACACTGCTGACTCAATATATTTTCTTATTTTATATCTGTGTCTTCAAAGCTGTCAGTAACGTTGACACTGAGTGAAGCTGATGTGAACTCGGTTAATGTATTCTGTAAGTTCACAGGCGGTTCTCTGCTCTGTCCCTGCAGGAAGTGGGCTAAGACTGGTCTGCTCACACAGGTATTTACTTAAATAGCTGCAAGCAAAACAGAGGGAGTAAAGACAGCAGAGCTGACCACTCCCATCAGCAGATGCATTGGATATTGTCTGTAAGAAATGGACCGGGTGTGATGGTGATGCATCCCTGTCATTCAGAGCTTGAGAGGCTGAGGCAGGAGGATCATGAGTGGAAGGCCACCCTTGACCATGGAGCAAGATTCTGTATACAAAACAATGGAGGAAAGGAAGGGAAGACAAAGGAAAGAAAAAAAAACCCAATAGTTATGTATTGAGATAAAACAATTCCAGAAAATGGATTTTTTCTATTTCCTTAGAAGGCTAAAGAATTTCGCAACTGACTTTTTCTATGCCAAGTGCACATTAAGAGCACCAGGCTGAGGAGCAGTCTTTACCTGCATGGAGACCACCAAGGCTTTTTGTTAAATACAGACTCTGGTCCAGTGCCTGGAAGTAGGACCCTGTTCTCTGTGAAGCTGACGTTGCCCACTTGTGGACTGCCTTTAAGCACAGTAGACTTTAGACATCTCCAAGCAGTATCTGGGGAGATCTTGTTGCTATTTAAAATCTGTAGGGTCACAATATTAGTACTTAGAGGTTAGAAATCACTTACACTCCTTGAATGCAATAGGATGGAAATCACAGGTGTTTTTGTTTGATTGGGTTTTCTTTGTTTTGTTTTTAGGATATAGAAAAGGGAAACATTTAAGTCAATGGAAAAGGAATAAAGAATGGTTGTAGGTTGTCTTAGTTAGGATTCCCATTGCTGTGATAAAATACTGTGACCAAAAGCAAGGAGGAAAGGGTTTATTTCATTTTACAGCTTGAACTTCATCACCTAGGGAAGTCAGGGCAGGAGCTCAAGGAAAGAACTGGAGTCAGGAACTGATGCAGAGGCCATGAAGGAGTGCTGTTTACTGGCTTGGTCCTCATGGATTTCTCAGCTTGCTTTCCTGTAGCACCCAGAATCACCAGTTCAGGGATGACACCACCCACAATGACCAGGGTTTTCCCACATCAGTCATCAATCAAGAAAATGCACCAAAGACTTGCCCATAGGCCAATCTGATGGGGCCATTTACTCAGTTAGGGGTCTCTCTTCCAAAATGATTCTAACATGTCAAGTGGACATAAAATTATCTAGTACAAAGATAATGCTGACAGGTATTTATTTTGATTGGGAAGACATCCCTTGTTCAAAATGAATCTCATTTTTTTTGCTTTGAAAAGATAAAATAACATTTTATTGTCAAACAGTGAGAAGTCCATTGACATCAGGAATCAGCAGAACGGAACACTGTTCCAGCGGCTGGACCATCATCTTGGAGAGCCAGGCAGTCCCTGTCGGACCCAGCATGAAGTGCATCAGGCTCCTCTATATTCCGAAAGGCCATAGGTGCAAGGTATGAGAAACAGGGAAGGGCTATCAGGGAGGCCTCATTGGGGGCTTTGAGGGCAAACATCTTAGGCTAGCTCAAGGTATTCATTCCATTCTTTGAACAATGCATATCTCTCATACACATGTAGGTATCTCATCATACTAGCAAGTATTTGAAAAGTTCAGTAGTAGCATCATTGAGAAAAACATTTTTCCTAACTGGTCACAGTGGTGCAAAAGTTTCAACACTCTTTCCCCATTATCATCACCCCAAATCTGGACACTACAAGGACGTCCTTCAAAAACTGAATAAAGAAACAAACCGTTTTGTACCCGTTAAACAGAACCTTACGAAGCAATAAAAGAGCTACCAAAGCATGAAGATTAAATGCAAATCAGTTTGAAAAGGCTGCACATTGTTTGTTTCCAATTATGTGACTTTTTAAAAATAAGAAACAAAACTTTAGAGATAGTGGGAGAAAAAAAATCAGTGCTTACCAGGAGCCCAATGGAGTGTGGTGGATAGGTGAAATGAAAAATGTGGGTGGGGAGAGGGCGGGGATCAGACCAGGAAAACTATTTGTATAATACTCTAATGGTAAATAAATAGCACTTTGTCATTTGTCAAAACCCATTGTATTTACATCACAAGTAGAACGTTCATGCATTCAACTTAGAAGAATTATAGGTTAGTATGCCCAGTAGAGGCACACAGATTAGTATACACACATGCATTCTTTGCTCTGTCAGCCGAGGAGTTCTCCTAAATAACTGTCCATTAGCAGTGAGCACATCTAGTGTCCAGATAGCAGTTTCTAAAACCATGCCTAGTAAAGACAACCAGGGATCCCTGAAACAACACATAGATCCAACGGAGAAGGGCAGTATGCAAGAGAAGCTTGGAGCATCTCACAAGGTCAGAAAGTCTGAGGAAACTAACAAAGAAATAAATGATCCTCAATAAAAGCAATGCTGTGTCACAGAAGCCAATTGAAAGGCCTCCTAAAGGCCAAGGTTGGGACAATCTGAGTAACAAAATAAACACATCCAAAGTATAAAATGAATGCCCACAAATATGCTCTGATTCGAACAAATAACTGTGGTAAGAGGCAAATTTCCATATAGAAGGATTCCATACAGTCTATACAGATGTTCTGTCTCCCGGATGGGGAGTGTAACTTGCACTCCTTCAGCTGTGGTCTGCCTATCAATTTCCCGCTAACAGTAGAGCACAGAAGGACAGGAGCAGTCATGGTGGGCTCGACCAACCCAGTAAACACTCCAGTGGCTAGATGATTCAAGTCAACATTAACAGTCACAAGTCCTTGGATGTTAGGTGGTGATAGGAATGGCGATATCTTGGAAAGCTTCATACTCCAAAGCTACAATTAGACATGAGTCTCAGGTGATGGGGGAATGTCCTGTGAAATACAACAAGCAGACACTGTCAAAACTGGAGAGTTTTATCAAAACAAGAGATGTCTAGGAGCCTGATGACACCTAATAACTGAATACAGCATGGAATCCCAGAACAGAAAGTGATAATTAGCCAAAAGTTAATGAACTTATAAACTCAAGGATTGGCAGGCATGCGCTATGGACTTTACTAACAAATATGGACCATTTGCTAATAAATATGACATTTCCAACAATAAGAAATCTATAACCTTAATTGCTTATCAGCCTTTTGACTAAGATCAAGTGTAGAAATGTACCATAATAATATTGTGCTACTAATGGGAAAATGATTATTCCCTGCTTTTAAGTGAATCTAAAACTTATGAAGACTATAGCCTTTAATAAATAAATCATGTTGAATTTGAAAGCCTTAAGAAGTTAAATAACATGTTGCTATATAAGGAAGTAACCCATGGTGCTTTGAACTCCACCTATATGGAGGAGTCCAAATTTATAAGTAGTGACTTTCTTCCTTTAGCCTGTCAAGAAGATGAAATGATGGCATTACACTAGGCAATGAAAAACTAATCGCCTTCAGTCCCTTCCCACTCAGAAGTCAGTAGACAGCATCAGTACCACAATCCCTACAGTCTTTTATCTGTCAATCAGAAGCTGCACTTCTGTAAGTTTTTAAGTCTGACTATGTCAGAGTCATTTGTCATTTGGCAGCTGTGGCTGACCTGCTAAGACTTGGCATGTGGACAGCCATAGAGGTGCTGAGGGAGTGTTCTGGGAAGTCTAGCTCCTACATCTCAGCAAGTTTGCTGGTGATGTCAAGTTTCCATATTTTCAGCAGCTTCTTTGAAACAAATCCTTAAATGCTCTTAGGTACAGGCAGAGGAGAACGAGCAGCAGACTTGCTTCCTCTTTAACATACAGATGCAGTTATATTTATTAGGGTTTATCATTTCTTCCATAAGACATGGAAATGTAAGGCTAACGTTTGCAAAAGCATGTGACCTGCCCAGTTGCTTTATATAAATGTACAGAGTGGAAAATAAAAAAACCTGAGATTAAAGAAATAAAATAGCCCAAGGGAATGAAAGTGTGCCTTCCAACATACTGAAACATGGGTGGCACTAGTGTTCGGCCCTTTCAGTTTCATAGTGTAACTCAAAAGGAAACCACTTCTAAATGACTCTTCTCAAAGTACTGCTCACACTCCCAAAATGAAAAGTATAATCCCATCCTGATTATTGCAAACATACATGCTTTCGAATGGTTTCATCTCATTTAAGGAGTGAACTTTGTTAAGCTAAAGAGTTTATGCTCAAACTAGCGAAGAATCAAAGTAAAGAGTTCTCAAATGAGACTGCTGGCAATTCTCCCACATCCCCCTTTAAGTGCAGTCACAGAGGCCTGCATATCTGAGTGGTGTTTGTGGAAAGCTGTGACAGTGAACTTCCTTGCAGAAGGCTGTGGGGCTACTCCACCCCTCTCCACTCACCATCACTCCAGGGGTGATGCTGGCCTTTGAGGTTAAGCTTTGCTTCTCCTAATGCAAATCATCCAATCTTCAAGGACATAGAGACATCAGATATTTGCATTTCTTGCAGTTATAACTGGGAAATCCCTCAAAGTGTCCTTGGGGGGCTGTAAGACAAGTATCTTTAAATTCATTTTCAAAATCCATTCAATATTAAAATGTTGGGGGTATTCATAGTGTACCTGAATCTCCCAGTGATGAAAGATAACACTGCTTTCCCATTTCAAACTCAGTCACAATGAATCGTGTGTGTGTGTGTGTGTGTGTGTGTGTGTGTGTGTGTGTGTATGGTATATGTGCATATTATTCACCTGTGCAATTAGGTAACTATTTGGCATACATGTGCAAATTTGACTAAATTAAACTTCTAGAAGTAGATCTGCTCACCCAACTGATGTGTGCATTTTCCATGTTGGTAGACACTCTGAAGTAGCCCTCTTACAGATGTGTCTTGGGTTTATATCTCCACCCACACCACGTGAGAATCCCCGACCACTGGTGTTTTTATAAACTAGAAGCATGGGCCACAGAGATAGCCCACACCTGGAAGATCTATCCCAATCCCCTCAGCAGATGAAAATCCTATTTCTGAGGGAGCAGCCACTCTGTTTACTTCAAGGTCGCTATGTGACAAATGTGTCCCCAGCTCAAGTTTACAAGTTCCAGATGAAGGTGGTTTGTCTTTCAACACAAACCATCTTTCACCAGGCTGACCTCGAGCTTCCCAGGACAACACTCTCCTCAGCACTCTGTACTTTGGATGTGCCCACCCAAGTCAGGGATAGAGATGCTAGAAAGCTCAGAAGTAAAGACAGTAAAGACATTTTTCTCTTGTTATTAGCAGATACCTTTCATTTCTTAGGCTGACTCGCTTCTCTTTCATATGAACCAGGGTAACACTGGAACAGTGTCATTTTACCTGAACTATTTTAAGTCCTTGGCTAAGGCCTTTATGTTTTAATGAATTTATTGATAAAGAAGAACTATGTTTATTCCTAGCAAAATGATCATTTAATGGAATCATCACTAGTAAATAACAAAATATGCAACACCAGAATTCTTATGTGTTACTTCTGGGACAACTTGACACAAGAGACTATTTCTTGAAATTGATCAAACATACGGACTCACTTTGGTGTAAGGAGGGTTCTCCCTTCAGTTCTCAGACTCAGACTTAAGTGGACGACACAAGGGCCTTAATTTTTCTTGGCAGAGTGACCTATTCACAAGTCAGGAACCAAGCTCTTGGCTGCTCTGTGGCTCAGTAAACTGGTAGAAGATGCCCGGTACTCAGCCACCTCTTTCATTTTCCATGGCAGCTATTTGATGGCCAAAATTCTACAGGCAAGGAGAGGGCAGGTGGGTCCACTGGAAGCTAGTTTCTCTGCTTCCTCTCCCCTTTCTGTTCATCCTGCTTCCCTTGACCTTAGCACTCCTTTCAACCATTTACAGTATCCTAGGTTCTGTCACATCCCAAAGACCACCTCTCCTCAGATTCACTCTCTCTGCTGACTTCCCAGGCCAGCCACCGGCATCCTCTCTCCTAAAGCCTGCGCTGTTCTCCCTGCCCACTGGCCTCCTCCTTCTAATTTCTTCAGCCTTAACTCCTCCTCCATCGTTTACCAGGTCTCCAATCACCAGTCACCCTCACACTTTTCCACTAAGAGAAGCACATTTGCAACTTTCCTTGGCCTCCACCTGTCAGTAACCTCCAACATGGGGCTTGCAAATCTCTGTGTTTCCTTAGTGCAGACTAATGATGTAATTTGACCATTGCTGTAGCCACAGACTTTCCCCATTGAAAGACTTCATTTCCAACAGTCCTTTTGGGCAGAGAGAAACAAGGGTCAAAGGCCATCTGTAATATTTCAGGTATCCGGAATAAAAATTTAAATGGAGACAAAAGTAATAGATTTGAGGTAGCGGTACCTAGCAGGTTCAAGGTCTTGGATGTAGACTTCAATACTGCAGGGAAAAAAGCAGCACATTTAAAATACTGAGCTTACACCTTCTTATATGGGAAGGAAAAGGGACTATATTCAAACCATCTTTAATGGAAAAAAAACTCATTTGAAGGCTTGGGATATAGCTTAGTGGGAGAGTGCTTATCTAGCAGGTTCAAGGCCCTGGGTTTGATTCTTAGTACAATGAGAAAAAAAAAGAGAAACACTAGTTTTTAAGAATCAAAAGCAAGACCATCTCTATATTTAAAGTGTTTCCTTGTGTAAATTTTTTTCTATCATAATTTAAAAGCTTAAGCTGTCATTGCCCCTGGCACAGTCATTTCTTGGGGAATGTAGACACCATTCATGATGATGATGAGGTTGTAATGAGAAAGTTATTTATTTGCAAACTGTATAACCCAGTTCAGAAAAAGAGGGTAGATTTCTCACAGCAATTCAAAACACAACTACCTGAGGTTGGAGGAATAGCTTAGTCCGTAGAGTGTTTATTTAGCATGCAGGGAGTCCTGGATTCAATTCTCAGCACCACATAAACTGGGTGTGGTGGTGCACACATGTGCTCCCAGCACTTGGGTGGTATAAGCAAGAAGATCAGAAGTTCAAGGCTATCCTCAGCTACCTAGAGAATCGAAGGATAGCCTAGACCACACGAGGCCTTGTCTCAACAACAAATCAAACAACAACCCCCACAGGACTACTATCTGAACTAGCACCCTTGTTTCTGAGTGTTTATCCAAGAGAAATGAAATCAAGACCTTGAAGAGATCTTTGCATTTACACGGTTTATTGTAGTACTGTTCACAATAACCAAGAGGTGGAAACAACAGGTCCACTGTTCAGTAAATAAAAAAAGAAAAGAAAATGTGATATACATGCACACACACACACACACACACACACACACACGAGCGCGAGCGCGCGCGCACGTGTGTGAGTATTCTTCAGTACTAGCAAGAAAGTAGTCTGCTATGTGTGAAGGGTAAAGCAAACTAGTTGCAAAAGGACACATAGAGTGTAATCTTACTTATGTGTCAAAGCCATAGAGATAAGATTGTAAGGGCTGGAGTTACATAACAAGTAGACTCTAGAAGTGTGCTTTATCACATTGTATCTGCAGCTAATAATGATGCACCGTGCAGTCAAATACAACTTTCCTATGTTCTCATCACAAGTAAAAGCACACAAAGATTGACTTTCAGCAGACTTCTTTGGCTGCTGCTGACACCTAAGAAAACAGCAAACCAGTGTTTGCTGTTTCTTATAGACACATGGTAGAGTGAGCATGGTCACTGACTGATAGGGACACACATCTCACCCCAGGAGATAATGCATGATCGCAGGTAGCAGGGAATGGAACTGAAATGCTGGATCACTTGGAAACAGGTAAGCCAATGGCAATCACTTTTCTAGTCATTTCTCCCAGAAGAGGTTGAGAATAAGTAAGAAGCCAAGGGATGCTTGAAGAGTGCCCACACTACCTCAGGCTGGACCTCTGCCTCTCATTTAATAAGCAACACCAGCCAGCTGGAGCAACCACCATCACCATCTTCCAGTCTCCCCTCCTTTTGCCCTGGTATCACCTTCCCATCCCTGCTCCCACCTATTCCTGGTTCTTTCAGTTGGAGAACTGGCTCATCCTTACTCCAGAAAAAAAGAAAACAAAACCAAACTGGAAAACCATAGCTCTCCATTAATGTTTAAAAGCACACTTGCTACTCCCATGGGCACAAGTTACATAAACATGCATATACTGCTTGAATCTATGTATGTACATGCATACAGGTAGCTATTATACCTGCTTTGCTATGTAAATATAATTAGAATAATGAACCAAACCTACCAATGTGGTATAAAATACAGAGTATCTGGCGCTATTAGTATAAATGGAGTTAAAAAAAAAGAGCACACCAATTTCTTCTGTGATAATCGCCTTTACAAAGCAAACCCCCTAGGAACATGTTAGTGGACAAGCACTGCCCAGGGTGTGTGCTTAGGATCCTGAATCAAATTACTGAGGGACGGCCCCACTTATTTGCTACATGATATTCAGCTCCTCTGCCCACTCACTGCTGCTTAGTAAAGATTCACAGCCTCTGCTTCTCACCAATTTGCCAGTTCATTTCACAGAATCTGCTGATGGACCAAAAGATGCTAATAATTTTCATGGGCGGCTCAGATTTTTGCTTAAGATTTGGCTTTTGGGAGCAAAAGGGAAAAAAGAAGCCTACCAATTGGTGGAATACAGGACCAAGTTAACAACAGCTCACTCTGAAATTACCATCATGTTATGTCAGAGAAAGACTGCAGTTTTTTTTTTCTTGGTAGCCTTGTCCCTAAAATGCATTAAGCTTAAACATAATTGAGGAGCTGCTGGAGAGGGGGTGGTATTCTGGTTTTGAGCTGGTTGCTGATAGCCTGGATATTTTTAATTGGGTGAAAATTCACCATTATTATTTTATGATGTGCTTACTTTTGGGTATTCGTGCATGTTTCAATAAAGGGTTTAAACATGCACGTGCCGTCTTCTTCATATATAAATACAGAAGACCTGGGAATGTCTGTAAATACACTTTATCAAGTGGTTAAAACCCCAAAATGCTTGCTTCTTGAACCCCCAAAAAGGTAAGTTCAGGAATGTGGCCCTGTGCCTTGGAGGTAAATTTTACTTGTAGGTGCATGTCTGAGCACAAGCAACAGCCAGATCTTTGTAGAAATGATTTCAGATGGCTTCAGGTTCAGGTCCTAATGGGGGTTGGGCTGTGGCTAGGCCTGATAGGAAAAAAAAACTGCTCTGTGACCACAGCAGTCCTCAGGAGACTCTGCTGAGGTCACCAGCTGTGCCTGTCTGTCTCTCAGGCGCTTCAATTTGGGATGTTAGAGCCACAACCTACTAACTAAACCAGATAGCCACCTTCTGTCTTTCTCTCTCCCCCTCTCCCCACCAGGACTTCTCAACTGGGGGGTCTATACCCCGGTTCACCCTGGACCTCTCCCTACTGCCCCCAAGCAGACATGCAATTTAAAACAAACACAGCTTCGTCTTAAGTCAGTGGCGTTTTCTTTGCCTTTGTGGATTGCTTGTCCCTGCACCAGTCAACTCCTCTCCCCTTTCCATTATGTGGGATTTCTGTTGGGGCACCCACACAAGCTAGGGGAAGGTGTCTTTCTTCTTCCTGGTGCCAGGGACACAGCCCTTATCCTTTGTTTTCCTCACACACATCTACCATACAGAATATATAGCACCCAAGGCATGGCAGAAACACCGAAAGCAGAGAGCATTTGAGAGTTATGACCGAGGCTCCAGATGGAGCTTTGCCTCGTGCTGATCTCTCTGCCTTTTCAGTAAACCAACAGACAAGTTTATTGTTTCACCTGCCAGTTGGAATTGCTATTAAACAATCTGATCCACCTGATTTTTTTTCCTGGTAGTGCTGCATCTTGAAGGCAAAGTCTTGTGCATGCTAGGCAAGTGCTCTACCACTGAGCTACACCGCAGCCCTGGAA